GTGGAGCAACGTGCTCAGCCAGGCACCCGTGGCTCTGGCTGGCAGCTCCCCCAGTGCTCTCCCTGCAGGTACAGCTATGGCAGAGCTGTGCAAGGGGCCGTGAGGGTGACTTTGTGCCAGAGGGTGAGGAGGCATCACCAAAATGCCAGCAAGGACATCTGCAGGGAATACAGTGGCCTGGTAAGTGATGCCCTGGGAGACATCTGAGTGGTGAATGAGCACCACACACAAGTGACACCAAGAGTCAAGAGCTGGGAGAACAGAACAAACTGCTCTGTAGGGTAAATTTGTCAGCCTCTGTAATATGTAGACTGATAAATAATTCTTTTTATTCAATTAATGCAATTATTGTTGCCCAGACCAACTGAGAGAAGCCTTTGCCTGCAGAAGTCCTTTGTAATCTCACTTGTTAATGGTAGGGACTAGAAAAGGGATAGCACAGACTGATTTAGAGTTCTGTTTGTTTCTGGAAGGAAGCAGAACTTGACAGAAACAGATGCAGTGTAAGGAACAACAGCTAACAGAGCTTTCTGGGGTGCAGAATTCTGCTGTTAGGCAAAGCTGTCCTGGAGCTGCACAAGGACACCAACGGGTGCTGGAGGCCTGGTGAACTCCATACCCAAACCACACACTGGCTTCTAGACTTGATTTTCTCTTTTTCTACATTTATATCAAATAACAAGACAAAAATTCACGCCATTTCTACATTTTATATTTTCCTTATTACCTCTTTCCATTCCTACAGAAGTGTTTCACAGCTGGTCTCTTCTCTTGTCTATATGTGGCTGAAAACTCTTTGTGCTCTATGATTTATCACTAGGATTTGCTCTGGCAGTTGTAACATTCCAGCTCTGGATCTGTGATGGGTGTTTTGGTTTATATTTCTACAATAGGAATGACACATATTCATGCATCTAAACCAGAAAATATCTCTTTATTTCTGCATTATTGCTTGCTGCAGTCAAGTGTTCTGACAGAACGACTGATACCTTGTGCTTCTGACTCCTCCCTGTCTCCCCAGCCCCAAATAATGGTGTGATCTCCCCCTTCCCACTGCAGACCATGAGCAAGGGCTGCTTCACACCTTCTGTAAGCACCTCAGCCTTCAGCCTGGCCCCCAGCGAGGAGCACAGCAAGCTCTATGCAGAAGCCTCTCTCCTGGAGACGGGCACAGGTACCCAGGGGCTGCCCAGGGAAGGGGCAAGGGTGAGAGGGACCCTTCTGGGAGTGAGGGTCAGCATGGACATCCCTGCCCCCCGCCTCCAGCTAGGGCTGGGACCATCACAGGGCACAAAGAGTGGTCCTGCCCAAGGGACTCGTGCCCACAGAGAGCTCCTCTGCCAGCAGCAGGCAGGTGAGGAGTGGCTGGGAGCGTGGTCCATGAGGGCACAAAGGGGCTTGGAGACACCCCAACTAAAGAAGGAGCTGCTGCAGGAGCAGCCTCCAAACCTTGAAGGGGGCTGGTGTTGGGAAGGAAGTCTGAGACCCTCTGCTTAAAGGGGCTGGGAATAACAAGGTGAGGAGAAACTGGGGCAGAGGGGTCACCTCCAGCACTGACCCTGCCTCCCTTGCACTCTGCCTTCCAACAGGGGTGCAGATCAACACCTCCAGTGAAATCCTGCTCTCCAGGACAGCTGCAAGGGCAGTGTTTGAGACACCAAATGCTTATTACATCCCCGGAGTACCCTACAGGGGGAAGGTGACTTTTTCCCCTTGCTTCTTCCCTCCCCATCATTTCCCATGGAATTTACTGTCTAGTAAACCTTTCTGACCCAGACTATCTTCTGCTCCCCAGACAGAGTAGGACGTGACTTTGCAGTGTGCCACACAAGTGACAGTGTGGCTCCAGCTCCTGCATTTCAGAATTCCTGATGAGTTTACTCCTCCAGCTTCTGCTGGGGGTGAATAGTGGTGCCTCAGGGATGCAGGGATGTCCCTCAGCTGTTAGCAGGGAGCTGAGCTTCTCGTGCTCTAGCCACACACAGCGTTTGGGGTGCAGAGGTTTTAATGACTCCCAGCTTAGCTATAGAGATGAGGGAGTTTTAGAGGTCTTCTGTCCTCCTGGGGCCAAACTGGAGTTAAGGCCACCTAACACAGGAGGCTCTGTGTGTGTCAGGGGGTGAAGGATGAAGGTTTTGGGTGTGACATGGAGAGAAATGTCTGACTTTGTCTTTTCTGCCTCACCCTGCTGCCAGATTAGACTTGAGGATCACTATGGAAATGGAATAAGAAACAGGAAAGTTTATCTTGTGATAAGGTTCATGAGGCGTCGCTTTATCAAAACGTACATCACGGATGACAGTGGAGCAGCATCCTTCAACCTGGACACCACTGCCTGGAACAGGTCCTCAGTCCTCCTGGAGGTAAATCCAACTGCTGCAGGGAAGTGAGGATCCTGGAGCTCTGCCAGTGCTCCCCATCCTGCTCTGCCAGCCCAGGCCTGGGCTCCTCACCCAGCTCTGCCCGTGCAGGGCCAGGGGGAAGGCACCAGCCACCAGCCTTTCCCAGACCAAGCCGGTGACACCTCACTGCAGCATGGAATTCTTTCCTTCTCTGTGCCTCTGGTCCCCCCCCAGGGCAGGTTCACGCTGGAGGATCTCACACACCCCCCACGAAAACCCCACCTCAGTCACACCAACGCCTACTACCACCTGCAGCCCCTGCACCTCACAACCAAGAGCTTCCTGGACATCCAGCCCCTCCCAGGAACGCTGCCCTGTGGGCTGAAGCAGGATGTCCAGGTCACCTTCACGCTCAGCCGGGACGACCTGGGAGAAGACACCACCCGTGTGGGCTTTGCCTATTACGTGAGTAGGGGCAGCAGAGGACCTGGGCAGAACTGGTGGGGCCAGACCCTGGAGAATTTAGGTCATCCCTGGAGGGGTGTCAGGAGAAAAGACATTCTTGGAGAACTGGGAGAACACGACGCCCAGCAGAGCCCAGCCTGGCCGCAGTGTGGTCCTGTGTCAGGCCCCAGCCTCCTCATGGGAAGGAGGAGGCTTTCACCTTCAAAGCCAGTTGCCCCCTTGTTCTCTGCCAAGGCTGCAGCAGGAGGTGTGTTGTGCAGAGCCTGCTGTCAAACTCTCCTCCCTCTAAAACTGGGTGGGGGATCACTCTTCCCTCCAGCTATCAGACAGCTGCTCAGTGGAGATGGCTTTGGTCCCATCTGAAGTCCTGCCTACCAGAGGGGAGATACCCTACCTGTGTCTCATCCCCATGGACCCCCAAATTGGTGGCTTTTCCTCCCACACTGTGATGTCTGCCAATCTGCTGGACCCAGGCTGTGGGGTTGGGCTGGACCCAGGCTGTGGGGTTGGACTGAATCCAGGCTGTGGGGTTGGGCTGAATCCAGGCTGTGGGGTTGGGCTGGACCCAGGCTGTGGGGTTGGACTGAACCCCCAGTTTATCTCTGAGGCTGGTTAGGGAGGCGAGCTGCACGTGGGGGGTGGGACTGCACTCTGGCAGCACACAGCAGCCTGCTCACCCCACGGCCCTCCTCCTGCAGGTCACTGGGAAGGCTGGAATCGTTGTCAGGGGCCAGAGGAGTGTCCACATTGGGAAGCTGAACAGTAAGTCTGTGGCAGCCAGACAATGGGAAGCGGTCGTGTCTGGTGGGTTTCTGGCTCAGGCAGTGAGAGCTGCCAGGGTTTCTCTCAAATTCCCTGAATTTATAGGTCCAAGGCAGTCAGCAAATAGGACAGAGCAAGGCTGAGGAAGCAACTGTGTCAGCTAGAAGAGGCCAGAAAGACAGAAGGAGGGGAAGGGCAGGAACAGAGACTGGGAGGAGCTGTGGGGCACGGGGTGGAGGATGGAGGAAGGGAGCGAAGAGAGCAGCAGCAGGGATGGGTTTGACATTGTGGGACTATACAGCAGAAAAAAAGCAGTGGGGCAGAAGGACATCTCCGTGGGGCTGTGATGACAGCACTTTGCCTTTCCTTCCTCAGTGTTGAAGGGTTCCTTCTCCATCCCCTTGACGTTCTCTGCTGCCCTCAGCCCGTCCCCCTGGCTGCTGGTGTATGCCATCCTCCCCAGCGGGGGGGTGACAGCAGACAGCGCCCGCTTCCACCTCGCCTTCTGCTTTGACAACCAGGTGAGACTTGCTGCTTGCTGCTGGGGAAGAGCTGGCAAGCAGGAGTCAGAGGGGCCAGGGGAAGGAGACTCTCATGTCCTTCAAAGAGAGAGCTGAGGAGAAGAAAGGAGGGGGACGCCTGCAGCACGGTGCCCGGGAGAGCTTCTAGCAGTGACTTCTCTTCCTAGCAGTGGCTGAGCAGGGTAGACTCCAGCTGGTCTCCCGTCCATCAGGCTCCTTAACTCTCTTTCTTTTTGGTCTCTCCTGTCCTGCTGTGCTGCTGAAGGTCAAGGTAGGATTCCCAGCCAAAGAAGCCCCCCCAGGGTCACCCGTGCAGCTCCGGCTGCAGGCAGCCCCCGGCTCCCTGTGCGCAGTGCAGGCGCTGGATGAGAAAATGTTCCTCAGGAGCCCAGGGAGTGAGCTGACAGGCCAAAGGGTGAGTGCCCGTGCAGCCAGGCAGGCAGCACAGCAGAGGGGGTGAGCTGGGGGAGGCAGGCAAAGGGATCTAGAGCTAACGGATGAGGGGTCTCTGTGGAGGGGGAAGGGGGGTCTGCCTCAGGAGGTGGGCAGGAGCAGACCCGTGTGCCAGGGGAGGGTGGAGCAAAGGGTCTGGAGATATCTACTCCTTGTCCAGCTCTGCCCTGCCTGTGAGTTTCCCTAGGTCTACGATTTGTTCCCTGCTGCCCACCGGCACGGATACCCTGCCCAAGTAGAAGAGTCTTTGGATCACTGTGTCCAGCCTCAGTCCACGGCCCCTCTGCTGCGAGGGAAGCCACAGCCTTCCTCCCACCCTGACATCTTCAAACTCTTCCGGGTAATCCCCTCATTACTTTTCCCAGAGCTGTTCAACTGATGAACATCTGAGGTGTCTTCCTCCCCAAGAAGTCTGAGAAGCTCTTGCCTTCTCCAGGCAGCTCCTGCTGTCTGTGCTGAGTGCTGAGAGGGCTCAGCCTGCTCTCTGGCACCGTGCTGGGTTGTCCCCAGTCTTTAGGTGTCTTTATTTCTTTAGGTCCCAATCCTTAGGTTGATCTTCAGGTGTCTTTAAGGCAGATCTCCCTCTAGAAGGGACTAGCCTTGAGCAGCATTGACACAAGACAGGCAGCACCATTTGGCCTTGGGCTTTGGGATCAGACCCTGTGCTCTTCTACTCAGCAGCAGAGAGCCATACCAGGAGCCTCTTCCACAGCTCAGGGATGTCTCCTGTGTCTGTGGACAGGGCCCATGTCACAGCCCCAGGGGCTGGGTGGAGATAAGTTCAGTGGGCAAATTCCATCCTCTTGTTCCCTCCTGAGTGAGTGAGAGGATGGGGCAGGACCCTGACACCTCCTCCATGCCCGTGCCACTGGGAATGTGTTGAGAGGAGCAAGAGATACCAGTGTCCCCCAGGAGAGAGCTGCTGAGCCAGAAGGGAGCAGGGGGCTGTGCCATGCCTCCCCCAGCACCCTGTCTGCCCAGACACCAGCCTGTCCTGGCCCTGGCAGCTTTCAGAGTCATTGTAAAGAACAGTGGCTACTCTTCCTCACTCACAAATGCTTTTCTGCCTCCCCTGCCCTCCTTCTTTTCCTGACAGAACATGGGGCTGAAAATCTTCTCCAACCTTGTAATCAAGAAGCCATCTCAGTGCTTTCATCGGGCAGATGGGAAGCTGGCCATGGGTGAGTTGTACTTTTACCCTAGCTGGGACATGAAGTCACCCAGATGAAGAGCCCTCTGGTCTTTGGGGTTTGCTGGTGGTAAATATTGGTGCTCTGAGGAGTGGTGGGTGCTGCTGCCACAGCCTAGCTGCCTGGTCCCCTGGCCTTGGCAGGAATGACCCAGTCCCTACAGAAAGGGCTCTGAAGGATGTCACTGCCTGGACGTCCCCTGGCATTAAAGACTGGCACTCCCTCTCCTGGCACAGACAAACTGAAGTGTGGGCCAGGGTCTGCCACCACCCCATGGGCTGTGCTGAGACCTGGCTTCTCTGCCCACCCGTGGCTGAGGAGACAGAGACTTCCTTCTTCTGGGTCTCAGTTTGCACCAGTCCTGCTAAGATTGCTGAGACTCCTGCTAGTGTCCAAACCACTGCTTGCTGCAGGTCTTGTGCAGCCAGGACAATGGTATTGTTATGCACACAGCTACAGAAGTGCTGGTTAAAATGGCTTTTGGAAGATTCTCAGTCTCTTTAGCACCAACTCCAGCTCAGGTCAGCAAGGGATTTTGTCTAAACAGGTCCTGGAAAACTTGCAGCCAGCTCACTACAAGCTGGATCTCCTCTTACCACTCTTTTCCCTTCCTATTTTCCCTCTTGTACCAAACAAACCCACTCCCTCATGTTTTGCTCTGCCAGACTCTTCCCACTTCTCTCTCCCTGCTTGCTTTGCCTCTCTTCCCCAGTGCTTCATTCCCTCACTCTGCTGGAATTCATTATTCTTTCTTTCAGGGGGACCTTTTACAGAAGACAAAAGAATCACTAGGGAACAATCCCGACTTGCAGCCCATGGAAGACTCCACCACTATTTCCCTGAAACCTGGATCTGGAACCTGTTCTCTGTTGGGTAAGTGATGCCAGACTTTACACATGGACAGAAGGATGATCCTCTTGCTATTGAGTCTTGCCTGACTTGCACTTGGGCCAAAGTCCAGACAGAGGTGTAAAGAGAGGTCTGCCTGTGATTTCTGTGGCTCCTCCCTGCGTTTGTAGTGTGCTGGACTGAAGGGCTCGTAGACTTTGGGGTATCCTGTCTTCACACATCGGGGTACACTCTACTAACTTCTCAATTTGGGGGCTGCACCAGCTAAATTTGCAGCCTTTGCTGCTGCAGCACTTAGGTGAAGACTCTGATGAGCCAGCACGCAGGCGGATAGGATGCTGCTGGTTTCTAGAACATCTGACTGTTGACTGACATCGTGTTGTGGATTGACTGCACAGAGCTGGCATGCCTGGGCAGTGTCTTGCTCAGGAGAAGGGTCTAAAGCCACTACTGGTGGCACTTAAGCAGGGAGCAAAGTGCCTTGCAGTGAACCACTGGAGCAGAGTGACCAGGGGCCCTCCCCGCTGCAGGGGAGCGAGGTGGGTTCTCATGCACGTGCTCTCCTCCCCTCAGCTCCAGTGGCAGCAGAAGTGTCCCGCTCACAGCTCCTGCTGCTGCTGCAGAATGGAAAGTCAAGACGTTTTGCCTGGCTGGGAGGGGATTTGGCCTCGCCCCAGCCACCAGCCTGAGGACTGCCCAGCCCTTGCACGTGGACCTGACGCTGCCGCCCTCCGTCATCCAAGGTGATAGCTGCTGTCTTCAGCTCCCTGCAGCAGTGCGTGCAGGTGTGTGCCCCACGGGTGACACTGTGTGGCACAGAGCTTAGAACACCTCCTGCCAGGCCTCCTCTCCTGAGCTGCCCAGCCCCGTGTCATTCCTCCAGATCCACGTGGCCCTGGCCACATCCCCGGGTTTCCAAGTGGAGCCGTGCAAGACCTGCAGGGACAAGGAGTGTCTGTGTGCAGAGGAGACCAAGGTCTTCTCCTGGAATGTGACAGCAGTGCAGCTGGGTAGGCACCAAAGGGGGAACACAGATGGGGAACCCTAAAACTGAAGTGAGGGAGAGCGGGAGGTCCAGAAAAACTGGCAGAGCCTCTGGACCCCAAAGTTTGTCCTTAGTGCCTCAAACGTGTCCATGACTTCCACCATGTATGTATATAGACTTCCACCACGTCTACATTCTTTCTCTCTTCTTACAGAGGCTAATCAGAGAGGGGAGGAGCTGAATGGGTGGCACAGAGACCTCTTGAGGAGCAGCTGGGGAGGAAGGGGCCGCGTGGGTGTGGGTGGGGGAAGCTTCCCCTGGGCTTCGTGTGCAATGTGGAGGGGACACTGGGGCCAAAGGGGTTGCTGGACCTTCTGTCATTATATACAGTGCCTTGAGGTCACTGCTGGGGAGGTATCACCCAGGTCCTTCATGCTCAAGGTGTCTGAACACACCTCCAGTACAGGCTGGAGCCCTTTGGCTGTGAAGAGCAGCCACCCACTCTCAGCTGAAGCAAGCTGGCTGCACGTGGCCATAAGGAACGGGCTCTCTCCAATTTCTTTGCCAGGGACCCTGAACCTGACGGTGAGGACAGAGGTGCTGGACCCCACGGCCTGGTGTGGGGGCAGGAAGCCCTTGCCAGCTGCCCTGGGTCGGACCTACACGCTGCTCAGACGCCTGCTGGTCCAGGTCGGTGGGAGAGCAGCCCCACTTCTCCCCTGAGCCCCCTGCCCCTGAGGGAAGGGAGGATGAGCTGAGCTGAATGGTTTTCTCCTCATTTTTTGCCCATCATTAGCAGTACCGAGGCTGTGGCTCAGTTTGCTTCCTTCTCCCCAGGCCCCAGCCAAGCCCCTTCCCTTCCTGCAGTCCCTTTGCTTGAGCTGCACTCAGACACCACCTCTGGGCTTCTCCCTGTGCTCTCCCCATTGCACATGAGCTTTTCTCTACCACACTGACCAGACCTGAGCTTGCTCTGGATGTTTGCTGCTGTTTGGGAATTTTGTGTCTGTTCTTTTCTCTTCTGTCCATGTTCGTGTCCCTGCCTGGCAGCCAGAAGGTGTGTTAGTGGAAAAGTCTCACAGCTCCTTTCTGTGCCCAAGAGGAGGTATGTGGACAGCCTGGATGGGTTCCAGCCTGAAATAATTAGACCCAAGTGTAGGACTCAACTGGGGGAGGTCTGAAGAAATAAGGTTTTCAAATTATTTTTCACATAGGGAATTTCCCTTCCAATTAGACAGGAGAGAACAAGAGCTGTTACTCCCACGTGTGCTGAATTGGCCTCTCAGTATAGGTGGCAAATGATGCTCTGCAGCATTCTGCCCACACTGAAGCCTCTGGGTGTTTCTGCTGCTTGGTAGTCACCCGTGGGAGCTGCTGCAGCCCTCCCAGCCTGCCCCTGCAGCACTGAGAGCATCTCCAGACGTCCTGTGATGCTCATGGAGCTTGTGACACGTAGCAGATGGAGCTGTGCAGCTTGGTGAGCCCCCAGCCCGGCCAGCAGCTCTCACACCTCTTCTCCTCTGGAGTTTCCAGAGCGTGGAGCTCAGGGGGTGACAGGGACAGGCCCTAGGGAGCAGTGGGGTGAGCTGGGTGTAGGCAGTGCCCCAGCTACCCAGGCCAGCCTTGTTCCTCTGGTAGGATGCACTTGCCTTGATTCCTCCTGCTACACACTCGTCCTGTCGTTGTCAGGGCACACGGCTGAAGGTTCAGTGTCCCTGCACCTCCCTGACAACGTCATCAAGGGATCCACCAGGGCTTTCCTCTCCATATCAGGTGAGTGACTGCTGTTGTGGGCTGGCTGCTCTTACAGGTGAGCAAGGCTCAGCCTGGGGATGGTGCCAGGGGACCCGTTTGACATGACACTGCTCAGATGCTGCAGTTCTCCTCTCTGCAAGGTTTGCCAACACCCTGTCTTCAGATTTTTGAATTAACACTTAGGCTTTCATGGGAAAAGTAATCTGCAGAAGAGAGTAATCCTTATTTTTCTAGCTAGGACTTTGGAGCAGAGGCTCTAGACTGTTATTCTTGCTAGGACTTTGGGACCTTGGCTAGTTCTCTGTAGATACAATCAGCAAAGCTCAGAATGATTTGTCTCCCTGTTAAGTTTTGCTGCTATAACAGGAGCTCCTGGAGAGAATAAATCCACCTCAGCCTTACTAAACTGCAAAAGAGCACTTTGGAGAGGCTACTGGAACCAGGCACAGCTTCCAGTCAGTACACTGCCCTGCACTGGGCTCATTTGCCCTGGTGCCAGGACTGGTGTGAAGCCAGGTCTGGGATAAGGAGCCACGGGTGGCACAGCCCCAGGGCAGGAGACTGACCCCAAGGCTTGTCCTGGACACCCTCCCACCTTGTGGCTGGCACTAGCACTTCTGACACCCCTGCTGGCTTACTGACGTTTTGATGCTTGACACATGGCCAGGGAGAACAGGCCTGGCTAAGGACCAGAAACTTCTCAGGCTTTCCCTAAGTGCTTTTAGATTTGTGTGCCTGTGTGACACGCACAGAGCAACAGCAGCTCTGCTCAGAGCCCTTTATAAACAGTGCTTGTTGTGCTTGGAACACAGGCTGGAAAAGCTGAGGAGGTGAAGTTCCTCAGGGGCTTCACAGGGTGGGCACCCAGCATCATGGTGCCAGCCTGGGAAGCAGCACCAGAGTCCACACTCTCCATCCTGCACTCTGTTGCTTAGTGGTTTTTCCTCCTTTCTCCAGTGCTTTCCTCCATGAAGCCCTGTTATCCACTGCCTGGCTGAGAAGCACCTCAAATCACATTTAACACTTGCTTTTTTTTCTGACATCCTTGCCTAGGTGACCTGCTGGGGACAGCCCTGCAGAACCTGGACCGCCTGGTGCAGCTGCCCCACGGCTGTGGGGAGCAGAACATGGTGCTGTTTGCCCCCATCGTCTACGTGCTGCAGTACCTGGAGCAGACGAGGCAGCTGAGCCCCGAGATCAAGGAGAGGGCGACAGGATTCCTGAGGAATGGCAAGTGCCAGAGACCCCCCTGCTGCTCTGCCCTCCCCCGTGCCCAGCACTCCCCCGCCCCCGGGCTCACGCTGCCAGTGCTGGTCTCTGTGTTGCTGTGTCCATCGTTGTTCCCATCTCCCCAGGGTACCAGATGCAGCTTCTCTACAGGCACAGAGATGGATCCTACAGTTTCTTTGGGCAGCAGGATAGGGAAGGGAATACTTGGTAAGTTCATCTCCCTCACTCCTGATTTTTCCTGTCTGGGCCAGATCAGCTAAAGTGCCCGGGAAATCTGAGGGGATTTGTGTCCCTTCTTTTGGGTGGAGACCCCAGGAGCTCTCTGGCAGCCAGGCAGATTGAGGGACTTGAGCCCCTTGGAAAGCAGTGAGCCTGGGCAGCAGGGTTTCTGGGAAAGTGGAACAACAAAGGTGTGGTCCCAGGGGCAGGAGGTCCCTTTTGGCATCTATGGTCCTGCTGCTGCCCCACAGACAACACCAGGTGCTGCTGGTGGTGTCCTGGCAGCCAGGGGGGACACACACTCACCATGACATTAAGGGAGTGCAATTAAATATTGTCTTTTTAAAAAAAATACAGTAAAAAATATGTAGTAAAAAATACACTGTGAGTGTATTGCTTGGGAGAGTTTGAAAGAGCTGCATTGGCCCATCCTGACCTTCTGTTGTCTGGGCTGGGAGAAGTGGAGAAAGAAAAGGAGGAAGAAAATAGGGGGGAAATGGGGAGTTCAAGATTGTCTCTAGTTGTTTGGGGGAGATGAAGTGCAACAGGTGAAAGCAGAAGGGGTAAGAGGTTTATCACTTGTGGAAAGACTGGGTAAAGACTTTTCAGGCTGGGGGAGAGGAGCCACTGCATTCCCGTGGACCACTTCTGCTTCCAGCTTGCTTCTCTGTATGAAATGACTCCCTTTGGCACCCCACTGTGCCAGTGTTAAGCTCAGGGATGAGCACCAGCAGCCCTTTCACTTTCTCTTTGCCTTTTTTGTTTCTCTCACAACTCATCCTCTTCCTAGGCTGACAGCTTTTGTAGCCAAGAGTTTCGGTCAAGCCAGAAAATACATCTATGTAGATGATAAGATCATCCAGGATGCCCTACGCTGGCTAGAGCAAAACCAGCTCCCCAGTGGCTGCTTTGCCTCCAGAGGGAACCTCTTTCACTCCTCCCTCAAGGTAAGTGAGGACCAAGCCAGGCAACGTAGCTGGGGAATGGCTGGAGAGATGTTGTGACAGCCAAAGATGGCAGGATCCCAAAGGATCTTGGAAAGTCACTCCTGCAACCCACGCAACCAGCCTCAAAGAGAGGAGGGTGTGAGGCAGTGAGCATGAAAAGAATGTGTTTCCTTCTGTGGAGTGACTGCCTGGGCTCTCCAAACACCACCTGGAGAGTGAAGGGTGGAATCCCTCCTCAGGGCAGCGTGGATGAGGAGGTGTCCCTGGGAGCCTACGTCGCTGCAGCACTGCTGGAGCTGGGCCAGCCACTGAAGGTGAGTGTGCTGCTCCTCACTCCTGCTCTCCTGCAGGCTCCCAGGCCTGGGCACCACCACGGGGATGCAGCAGCTCAGCTCCTGATGCTGCCGGGCTCCAGGAATGGGTTTCAGTGGAGCTACATGGGGATGACACAGCCCAGCTCCCTGGAAGGAGCTCCCCTGGCCGCTGCTGGGCCCTGTCAGTCTGACTGCATCTCCTTCCAACGCAGGGCAAGCTGGTGCAGAGCTGCCTCCGCTGCCTCCAGCAGGCAGTTCACAACGTCACCAGCACCTACACGGAGGCCCTGCTGGCCTATGCCTTTGCCCTGGCTGGGGACTATGAGACCACCCAGGAGCTGTTGTACAAACTGGAGGAGCAAGCCATCAGATCAGGTGCTGAGTGCTGGTTGGGGCAGTGCTGCTGCTTCACCTGCTGGGAGCTGGAGTAGCACACGTCCTGCTAGAGCAGTTCAAAATGATGTCTGTATCTGTACACTCTCCTTGTAGCTGTGCAGCAGCTGCACTGTGTGGCTGACAATGTAGTAAGTAACTTCATAAGCTGGGAGGATGACTTACCAGAAAGGCTTCTCTCTGCCTGGAGGGTTTCTCGATCAGCTTGAGGGAGAAGGAGGGAGTCTGTGAGCTAAGACTCACTGAAGCCCTGGAGCATAAGCTCAAGAAAACAAACCTGACCTGAGTACAGGGAATGAGCTGAAGGAGCCTCGAAATCACTCTGGGTTCTGTCTCCTGCCAACCCCCAAGTGCCTCCTCTGCAGACAGCCTGCATGCTCCTTTTCCCTCTGCAGGAGGACAGATCCACTGGAGCCCCAAGCCAAGCTCTCCAGCTTCCCCAGCCTCCCCAGCTGGTGCTCAGCCAGCAGACATTGAGCTGACAGCCTACGTTCTCCTGGCGTACCTCTCGAAGCCACGGGGGCACACAGGAGACATGACAACTGCTGCTGGTATCGTGGCCTGGCTCACCCAGCAGCAGAACGCCCACGGGGGCTTTGCCTCCACCCAGGTAACAGGCACCCTGTGAATCATACTGCTCACCTGCAGCCGTGGTTGGCAGGTCTGGTCCTCTTGAGACCAGGCTGGAGGAGGCTCTGGGCAGCCTGGTCTAGTGGGAGGTGTCCCTGCTCATGGCAGAGGGGTTGGAACTGGGGGATCCTTGTGGTCCCTTCCAGCCCTGACAGATTCTGATCTGTTTTAGCAGAGGACTTCGTAGTGTTGGCGTGAGGGTTGGACTTGATGATCTTAAAGTTCTCTTCCAACCTAAAGGATTCTGTGATTCTAAGCACGGCTGGAGCTCGTGCTTTCAGAGGGGTGTCTCTCTCTGCAGGACACAGTGGTTGCCCTCCAGGCCTTGGCAAAGTATGCAGCAAGGACGTTCAGTGCCTCGGGCCAGGCGCTGGTCAGGGTGAGGTCCCCACGGGGCTTCAGGAAGACCTTGAAGGTCGGCCACCAGAAGAGGCTGCAGGTGCAGCAGGTGGCACTGGCAGAGCTCCCAGGGCAGCTTCTGCTGCAGGTCCAGGGCAGCAGCTGCATCATTGCCC